TGAGTATTAAACATGTGTAACTTTAAAAAGGGTTTTGTATTAGTTTAAAAAAATTGTCGAACCCGTAAACTTGCGAAAGAGCTACGCGGTTTTTCAATTTTATCCTTTTAAAACGCACTACACACGTGTTAACTACTTTATTTTTATATACCGTCGGTTCGGTGGCTTGTGATAATTTGCCTAACGCATCGATCTCAGAGAGAGCCGTATAAGGTTTCCTGCGGCTTCATTTGCCAAAGTTATGAAAACGTAAAAATCCTCTTTCGACCTGGATTACTTACCTAACGGCATAAAAATCCCATTCACCCTTGTCATAAGACATCATCTCACTCAGGAGTCGGCACGTCAGCATAACCCCACGAGTTGTATACGTTTCGCTACAATATGTAACGAATTCATTTGTTTGCTACGCTATTAAATCAGCAAAAACCTTTTTAAAAATTAGTTTATTCCACAACTATTATAGCTCCCTCGACACAATATTATTACACCTCTATATAGGTCAATATTGCCAAATGGCTTTACGTCATTACCAGGTGGGCCATAGTCAGAAAAATCATAAATGACACTATAATACATATATATGTAGACTATTTACACCTTAAATTTATTTACGCCTTTTAAATAGATTCAAATTGTTAAAAAATTCACGTATTATGTAGTATAATAAAATTACCTATATTTGAAATGATTTATTGTTTTTAATACTTTACTTTCTTTTAATGTTTTCGACATTATTTGTTTAATTATGACAATTATAATGATAACACACTGGTCGTTTCGTGTACCAGACCAGTTTTTTTTTATTCTCGATTGTTAATACATTTGGCCAAACAAGCGTCGGTCTAAATCTATCGAGGTTAGATACGTTTAAATAGACAACAATATTATCCTTATATCTATATGCACTATATTGCACCGAAGAACTACATTTTCATTAAACTAATGTACAAGCGTTTTACCACAAAACTGCAATTTTTATTAAATATATACATATAGTCGAACTCATGTTTCTGTTTTTCCTCTATCGGCAAACCCGCTGAGTTTATCATGAAATCATCAAACGACATTTTTTACGCCCGACCATAATAATAATGGCATGAACATATATATTTTATATACTATTGTAACTCTGGAAAGGAGGATCGGAAGATAGCATAATGATTGTCGCTGTCGTTTTTGATGTGAAAACAATGACAGCGGTGTTTATTCGCAAAGCTTTCAGCTAGAGAAACGTTAATCATGGACGTTTTAAATGTAAGCCACCAAGATTACATAGCTTGTGAGACAATGGCAACGCAAAAGCTATCACAAAATTTTTTCGGCCGACGTCTGTTTTTTCTACAAACAAATAATCTTCTCTTATTTTTTTAATCTTTAAAAAAAATACACTGATCGGATAACAATGACAGAACAACCGTAGTTTTAAATAGTCGTACAACATATATAGCGAGTATGGTGAAACGACTAAAAAATAATAAACATAATATTAATTTCAAATTTCAAGCTTTCTTTCTAAATAAATGATTAATCGTCTAGGTTCAAAGATAGCGACATAAATTCTGTTATATTAATACAACTTTGAGTTTTACGTTTAACGCTTATACGTATCAACATTTAGAATAAATTAACGAAAGCTAATCGATAAATATATAATTATGTTTTATCATATTGGAGTTTTTAGAATTTAAAAATATAGGTAGTTAAAATGATGTTTTTCTCTCCTCGATCCCATTTCACAGATCTGTAGTTTACCCCACCCCAATACGCTCCGTCTTCATATTTCCTTCAAAATTGTTTTGAAAAATAAATCTTTGCTATACAGATTTCATTATCTTCAGAGAAAATTATCACGTGAAGTAGAACATCTTTTCAAGTATATTATGGTAAATTTATCATCAGTAATCGTCTATTTTGGTTAATATTATATAATCAATATAAGTGAACACAAATTTATGTTTCGGTTATTATAAAACCTTAGTTGGCTATATTTACAAACGATGAAGTAAATCTGCATGCACAATGTACAAAACTGTTTTCAACACGGGACTTGATTTGTTAAATGATTAAAGCGCACTCAACATATGTACATGCACGCGGTAGGTTTAGAAACTAACCAGGAATATGTTTAACAGCAGTTGTATTATTTTTTACGTTATTTATTATTTACGTTTGATAAAGCAATAATAATTGCAGGGAAAACAGACTGTTTACGTGTTGCTTCAACGTTGTTATCGCAGCATAACTAACTTTGTTTGTACATATTTTGCATAAAAATTTTTTTTAAAAACAACCAACCGTTAGAAGTTAGTTCATAATTATTATGGGTCTATGAACTCTTCAAAAAATAAAATAAGTCTTACAAATATTTAAAGAAACACAGGCAGGTTAATGCCTATCAACATGTCGTAAAAGATAATTTGTATATACTAAACTCGTATAACAATACACTCTCGTTAATATAACTTCTAATTAATATTTATTTGAAACAACCACCCACAAAATGTAGGTAATTACTAGGTTTATAATTTTTAATTTAAAATACGTGATTCTCTTCGTTTGTAGAGAATTTATACTTATTCAGGACAAATTACTTCCTACTGGCTTGGATTCAATTTTGAACGTTTTTCGATCTATGCGGAAATAGTAATTATTTGTTGGAACAAACTCAGGAAAAGTCAACAACGGCGGATATCGACCGGAAAATTAAAAATTAATAAATAGGAAAATAAGGTTTCAACTCAGCTAAAATGTATTTTTAGATCTAATTAAATCACGTTTACTTGTTGCGTCTATTGTATAAGAAGAACGAACTCGACGAAAAGAAAGAACAAAAATTACGTGGGAAGCCAACAGCAGTGAGATCCAAGGCTCTATAAAATAGTATATCCGTTTCATAGATACCATACTGTTAATAATAAATACTCACTATGATGGCTCGATCAGTGTGAATAATACACCTAGTTTATTTATTTTCTAAGTAATTTTTCTTAATAATTGTGCTACACCTAACAACTATCCATTTGCCTAATTATAGGGAAGCTTGGCTGATGTCTTTAACATCCCTGGAATTGAAATTAGAGACCCCTAAATTGCTGCGTTTGATACCTTAAGAGTTAAGTGGTATAGGGACAGTGCCTTTAACACCTCAACTAACATGACGGTGACTGGTTTTTTTTTATAAGGCTAATCCATTTGAGATACTTAACACCCACATTTCTCTCAAATAACTCTTGGTAAAAACAATTTTTTCAATTCACCGATCATAATAAAATTCACTGTTGCCTACCATGGTTGAGAAAGAAGCCACCACCGACCAAGAAAAATATATGAGGCCAAGTTACCTTTGATCTCTTGAAAATTCATTGATTATCCCATTACTTCTGTTGCATAACGACTATGTGGTATATTTCAAATATTCCTGAAATCTGAAATTTAATTATAGTAAAATCTCAATAAATTTAATAAAAAATATATAATTCTAGTTATGACATTGTTAGTGAATTTATTTTTTATATAATAACTTATAGTCTACAGCTTTTATTTATTAATTGATTTGAGAAATTATAAAACAATATGATTTTCGGCTTCCACCGTCAATTAAAACATTGATTTTCTTTAGGCTACGTGACCATTATCCATCTTTTTTTATCTGTTACGTTTTTATAAAAAATAAAGGAGAAAACAGTTTCGGACAAATAATTGCATCTTTGCCAACTACAACAGTTATTGTTAAACGTCTTGCGATGGTCTAAAGGGGAAAAAAAGAGAGTTAAGTGTAAAGTTCGACGACAACTACCGGTCAGCACGTCCAGTAAATATCATACGTGATTTTTTCTGAATTTAAAGAAAGACGATATGGTGTAGTCTAGGTCTTGTACACACGTTCATATTGTTGCAGAGCACATTTACCTTACAAAATGTTACAAAACGCACGGCCCACGACCACGATACCTCGTTCATTAATCATTGTTCAGGCCGAGGAGGATCGTTAAAAGTTTTAAGGAACTTTTAACCGGCCAGAGCGACCGATTATAAATATACGTATATCTTCTACCGCAATTTGATGGCAAATATAAATTAATTTTAAAACGCGTTTAATAACCGTCGCATGAAACTTTAACGCAAACGCCAATAAACTCTGTGGGATATCTTGTGTATATATACATAAATAAACCTTTTACCTCGTTACCTCGTTTGGATGCAAGTGTTTAAGAAGGGTACAAATTATTTTTTAATTAATACACCTTTGCATTGATTATAAATCAGAATTGACCTTTTGAACGTTATGTCAGAAAAAGCTGACCGAGTACATTGGATGTATTTAATTGTCATAGAATGCGTTTAAAATCGTTACTATGCTAAAAAATAACGCATAAAAGATTCGATCATCCCTGGCATGACCTATTGTAGCCAAGTGGTTCGGTTTATTTACAACACACTTATTTATATACTAACAAGCAAATTATTAAATACCACTAACGGTAATTGTAATGGTAATAATAAATTATAAGGTTTGCGTTCCACGCAGGTTAATTTTATTTTCAAAATGAATTTCCTTCGGTCAAATCACAAAATATCATACTTGTTTTGTTTAATTTTAAATAACATAGGTATTGACTAATATCAATAATAACCAGACGTGCTTTATTTATTTGTAATACCATTATACGTTAGTTAATATATTTATAAATGATTATATTCCTTGGGTCTAAAAGGATAAATCTCTTTTTTAGTAAAGTTCGGCAGCTGAGCATGAAAATTTTTATTTTTTCCAAGTTTTGTATCTATATAAGTTGTTTTTTAAAACTTTTCATAACATTGTCAATTCTAATCCTGAGAGTGACATTTTTTTACACAATATACATACATGTTTAGTGGACTAACTAATTTTTGTCAAGCATTAAAATTGACTTTGCTAGACCCTGTTTGCTTTTGTTATGATAAATTTTACATGCAAAATTTTTAAATTAAACCCAAACATTTTTGTTTTTTTCTAGTGCCATTTGGAATCCGCAGTTTGAACGACGCTGTTTTTGCTAACCCTATGGGAACGAAACCATGTAAGGTCGCTGGAGTGTTTTACAACCACAGTCAAAAGGTAAACTAATATAAACATGTACAATCAATAAAATCCGATGTTTTCAATTTGATACAAATAAAATGTGTATAATACTGTTTCATACACACACCAACTAGTTATACTATATATAGCTGGCTTAGTGCAAATTTGATACTTGATATTTAATTTTTATCTTTGCTATAATGAAGATATTATGATAATAACCTGAACTGTCGATAATTGAAATATTTATAAGTAGGCTAAGAAATAATCCCTGATTTTTTTTGTTTATGACTTCGACGCAGGTTTTTTTAGTTATATTATTTCCAGAGATTTTAAATAACAATATTGATCTCTGATTATTTCCTTGTGACAAAAATCTGAAACCCTCTTCCGAAAATGCCTCGATTTACGGCCTTCGTACTAATAACCCAACTTTCAAGATAAACACTCTTGAGTATCAGTGGTTAGTAGTGAAAAACAAAATTGGCCAGAACATAAAACAAATTTATCTTATGAACTACGGCTAAAATAATGTGGGTAGCAAAATGAAAGATTTTTTTTAACACTAACCACATACTATTAGTCCAGGCAAATTAGATCCAATTTTGGCAAATAGCGGAATAAAATGATGGAAAGCTGAATTTTGGTATACACCTTATATTATAGGTATACACCTACATATTATGATAATAATACAGCCGATATTCAACAACAAAATGCCTACTGTTCTATAACCTTATTTCTATGTCCACAATATGTGATAAGACCAAGGTTAATTTTTGTACAGACTAGATTGTTAATATGCCGTATGCGTAAGCACACTTCTAGCGACCCAATTTAAAATGTTGAATATAAATAATTACAATTCAAATAATAAATTCTAATTTATTCAAAGTGAAGAGAAGTTGCGTGTTCCGAGTATTACCAACGGCAACGCAATTTATTTAATACAACTTTAGGGAGTATATTGGTAGCTAGCTTGGCGGTACAATATTTTAGCTAATTGGCCTCTTTTGTTTTCGCTACCCGCCAAACTCAAATGTTTTTTACAATTTATAATTAAGCGTTATTTAATTGTGTAAATATTTTTAAAAAACGCTGATTTGTGTAACAGGTTAACGCAATCGTATTCACAGATTATATATAATATATGTATTTAATCAATAAATACTTCTACGATAATAGATTACTAGTCTAGTAATGATTAAAACACTAATGTGCCCGATAGTTTGGTTTACACTTTACACTTCATTTTAGAAAAAAAACTGCTTTATTATTGTGATTTAAACAAAAGAGACACGGGGACATATTTTATTTACAAATACTCTGACCCGTATGCTTAAAGCACATCAAAACAATGACAGATTATAGTATTACTAAAACAGATTATTATTACAAAACTGTACACTATTTTAAATAATACATTTTACAGATACTGTTCACTGACCGTTGCAAATCTTGTTTATGCATTGATGGACAAATATTTTGCTACTGGCAATGTGATGAAAATGTTACTGCGGACGAAATGAGAGAAGCAAATGATGATGAAACCCTATCGACGTCGACGACTAACAGTAATATCAAACAAATTACACTAGAAAAACACTATAACATTATTATAGCAAACATAAATTTATTAGTAAAAACTTTATTCGCAAATGTAATAACAGAATTAGTTTGGATTTTTTTCGTTAACATTAATCAACCTAATTTTTTTTTTTTTGTAGCAATTGACATTTGTCATCAACTTTATTAAATAAAATATTAGTTTAATAGCATAATATAATATATTCGAGAAGTTATCAAAGACCTTCAGAAACTTATTTAAGATTTGATTAATTTTAGAATAAACTTGTACACCTTTATATATGTATATATTTTTTTCATTTCAATTTTGAAATAGTGTATCCAACCAGTTAACTTACTACAGCAACAAAATAGTCCTAACCAATGAATTTAAACAGTAACTTGTGTTTTAACGAATTTCTACATCTTCAAATAAATTACAACCAAACTTTATCCATAATAAAGACCTTGAAAGTTTTAAAAATAATGGTTTTGGGTATTTAGATAAACGAGCTTCGTGTACTAGGAATTATGGGATTTTGAAAATTGTAATTTGTTGGCTGCTACTCTTGTTGCACGCAAACTGCAACCTAACATATAACTTAGTCCCTTTTATGTACAAAAAGTACATGATATATGATATATTGTAATATCATATGTAAATACATAATATATCGATACCTTAAATAATACAAATTAGATTAGCCTAATTTTATTAGGTATTTAAAATTGTACAATTTTTTTTTATTAAGCCCTAGCTGATGGCTCGAGAGTTCCATACTATTAGTTATATAGTGTAGAGTTAGGTATTCAGTTTTGAGTTGTAACGAATTCTTAACATTTATTCTACCAATCTAACACATCACCTAATTCGTGTTTATTTCCTATAGGCTTGTTGACCAGTACAATGGAAACGGAAGACAGTCCTAGGACGACCAGCCCCGGACCGTCTACACGTTCACCGGACTCATCCACACAGATAACTGCCACTGTCGGTCCCAATAAAACGACTACCGAACCGTTTTGCCTCGTTATGGGTACGTGAAAATCATCATAAACCACACATTAAAGGCAGAGATGTGTTTTTTATCATACAAGATAAGAAAACAGAGTCGAAACAAACTTGTCATGAGTTTTTTAAATTAGGAATAAAAATGAAAAACTTGTATAAAAATATACAATTGAAAAAAGTGTAAAAATATAAGGGACCCGGATATATAATTATTTTTATTTTCTTCTAAAAAATACATATACCAGCGTGGTTTGTCAAACTGTTTCTACTTTCTGTTCGACCTTTATTTTTGTACAATAATATAGTATTGAAAGATTTATGCGGATGATTTTCTGCGCAGGAGTCAAGTACAAACCGGGCAGCGTCCTGCCCAGGGACTCGGGGTCGTGCCTGGAATGCCAGTGTGGTCAAAATTCTCAAATCACTTGTAACCCCAAGGACTGCATAACGTTGAATTCACTTAACGACCAAGACACGGCCGAACCGGAATTCTTCGGAAACAGAAACGGCGAACAGAACAATGAAAATTTCAATCTGGACATGTTTGCCGTCAACGTTGTCTAAATTGAACTACACTGCGTTTATGAAATAACTTGGATTATATTATATTCTTTTTATCTTTTTAACTAGGTTTTTAAAAACTAAACTATAAACAAACAAAAATAATACCTAATAACAAATATATTACCAAAAGAAAAAATCACCGTTCGTCTGCCCATACCGTTAGATTTTTCAAGCAAACACAAACTAATGAAAATTTGGTTTGACGGCAAAGCTTTGTACCGTAGTACAGGGTTAGCACACACAAAAAAACAATAATAATATCAATAAAAAATATTTTCAAAAACAAATAAACAAAAAACAAGTACATCATCGTTCAGCCTTGATCTGTATTATTACTTAACCTTAAAATAAGACTTGTGCATTTATATTTAACTAAAACCGTTTGAAAAATAAAAAACACGCTTTTTTTACAGTTGTCGCGAATAGAATATTGAATGATAAAAAACTCCAACGTTAAGGGCGTTTTTATGATATAATTCCTACATAACATAACACGGTGTATAAATTACAACCATTCCAATATTTGTACATTAGCATTAAGTATTCTAATGCAAATTTTGCGAACCACCCACGTGATACCGTTTATCTTGAATACATATAATACACATTATATATTACACAAAGCCAAATTCCATGACCCGTTATTACGTTGGAGATTCTTGAAAAATTCCTAAAGTTTTAGACCTACATAACCGCGCAAACTAGAAAGTTCTTAAAACATTTTTCATTATCTCAAAAATAACCAATTCATAAGTCCGGTGAACCGATACAACAGTTGGAAGTATAAACTATTATTTATTATTATTTTTTTTTTTTTTCTGAAACTCACAGTAATTTTTTTATTAAATGCGATAAGTAATATCTCGAGGCGCCATTGCATTTAATATTTATTTGGAAACAGTATATTTGAGTGTTAATTTTATATTTAAATATCATCGCAAAGAAAAAGTTTGTGAATTGATCGGAAAAAATGTTTTTTACCTTATTATAATTTTTCAATTTTGCCAACTTTTTTTTTGAAATTTTAACTGGTATTTACATAACATTGCGGACTTAGCTACATTTTCTCTTTTTTTTACACTCATTCAGAAACCACTAAACCCCGTATCCGAGTCGCCGTTAACGTACCATATTGCCAAAATTTGACTTTAATTGGCATGCAATTGGATACCAGAAATATTAAACAAGATTCAGTCCATAATTGATTAAATTCCAAAGTTAGTTAGCCTATACATTGGTTCTTGTACGTAAACAAATTATAATAAAAACCATATTTTAGTATTAAATATTAATGTATCATAAAAAATAAAGTATCGTCATATTTTAAAAATATAAAACCATTATAATATTATAATAATATATTACTACTAATTGAAATTTAAATATCTTATCATTGTAATCGATATTGTATGACAAACAACACAGAATTAGGTAACCAAAAATACTTAGTATTAAAATATATTATATATATTATAACTTGTATTCCCTATTATAATAATCGTTATTAATTATTATTATTCTACAGTTATCATTATTATTATTTAACCGTGTACATTTACCATTTTATTATACATATCCGGTAATGATTGATTTGTGTTTCCGAATATTATACTGAAATTATATGAAATTTATGTTGATAATTGTCAGATTTTCTTGATATTATTAAATAATAATCCGAATGTATAGATAGTCTCCAAATTCCAAAGTCAATATTATTACTATGTACTTACTACTGCATAATTCTATTTGAATTTGCTAATTCTATGAGAAAATCATATAGTGTCGTTCAAATTAAATTGTTTAAATACGTTTTTTTATTAGTTTGACTATTTATTTTTTACCTTCAAACTCTTGGGCTCGATACCAGTACGACACATATTTTAAAACTATCTCTATTATGTGTTATTTTATTTAATCTAAGTGTACAAGATAGCAATTTTGAAATTCTTCTTCTGCTTCAGTGCGGAAAACGTAAGTAATAGCTTTTTACAAAGAAGACGGTTTTATTACTTTATTTTTTAGTAGAACTATGTTCGTATTGTCTTGTGTAGTCCTTTTATTATACATTACATTTCATACCTAGTTGTACTTTACGGGAAATGGAAACTTTTAAGTTCTTGTTAACAAAAATTCTGACTGATAAATATTTTTAAATTATTTTATTCCTTTTTAAATAAAAATAGGTAATTTCAAATTAGCTAGAGGTAGCTAGAATTTAAAAAATATAACTTTCTGATTTGAAAAGTTTGAGGATAGTAATAACACGACTAAAAAAACCTACCAATTAAAACATTTATATTATAAAAATTGTCTCATCAAAGCTAAAAATGAACTCTCTACTTTTTTTTTTTTTTTAGCAATGAAAGACCTTGACTTCTGAGGTTATTGGACTGTTGAATAGTATCTACGAACCATTTGTATAATATAATTTACAGTAAAACGTGTAATCACATAAATATCGCGATTGTAGCTCTGACTACAACATAATAGGTTTTTTTTTTGGTCATAAACAGTTAAAAATATTTTAATTACATTTTTTCTATATTTTAAAAATCAATTTTTTTCTGTATGCAAATTTGGTATTTAAATAAAATAAATTAGAACAATAAATACAAAATAATTATCTTATAAAGAGTTAGGACTTGTGTGATGTTATGTTGTCGAATGCTCATACAATATACTGTTCAGACTTGTGGCTCCCAATTAAAATTTTAACGAGAACGGGTAATACATTTGATACTACGTTATTCTTTAAGTTAAGCAGTATTACACGATATTATAAATATACAAAATCATATAATTTATTTTAGTTTATTTTTTATCTACAATGTTGGCATAAATTAATATTAGGCATTCATTTTTACCGCATACAAATAACTTTTGATATCCCAAGTGTTTTTACAGTTTAAAGTAATATGATTGTCTATTATAACAGTGCGGTTGTCAGGTCCGACCAATCAACAGCAGTTAACTGAGTTAACAGCCAGCTTATTGTCAGTTGTTAAACCATTACTTAAAGTAACACCGTTTAACATTATTACAACATGATACCTTCCCAATCGTAAAATGATTAACGAACCACCATGGACCCCATTCAATTTAATAATTATGTACAGAATTAGTACAGACGCATGCACAAGATTTAGAAACTAACTATAATTTTGTTATAAGAAATCAAACAATATATTGTACACTATTTCAATAGTATTGTTGATATTTTTTATTTCATATCAACAGTACGCACTCTAGTGGTGTTTTGTCAAGACACTGGTTTACATTTTGTTCAATATGTATTTTATTTCAAATGTACGCTATTTGACATTTATAATGATTTAAATGTAATATAATATTTCTTTAATCGTGTTCTTGGAACAGAACAACGATTAGACAAAATTAAAGGATTACCTGCTTCAATTTAAGTTTATCTGCGTTTATACTTTATTTTAGTGGTAACCCCAAAAATCTACAACTTGATACATTAATAAAAAATAATTTTCTCAATATTGACTATTGTTAGTATCATTAACAGATTATTTTAAATCTAAAACAATCGAAACTAATGCTAACAGTGAAATTGTAGCTTAAAGCAAAGATCTTGTAGAATTTTAGCCTTAAGGAGTAAACTTACTCTGATAAAAATCTTACGAGGTACTCATGCGTCATTCTATGGGAAATTCTATGAGCAATTTTTTCTTTAATCATTATTTTACTCAACTAATCGAGTTAAAAAAAAAACACTCCAAACTACACTTTCATAAAATACAAATTTTCGGAAATATTATTTAATAATTTTTTTCAAATACATTTAAGTAAACGTAAATTTACAAAAATATAAAATTCTATTTCATAATTTATTTTTTTTTTCAGCATATTCAGCCTTAAAGTTGGTCGAATAAATGTATAAGATACTCGTATTTATACGATTCCGGTTTTCAATAAAATAATTAACTAACGTCTAATAAAAAAATGTTTGGGCTGCCTTTTAAATTTGTCCACTGAGACCTGGACAAAAGATGTTGTAAATCCAAGTTCTGTAATTAATTCTTCTTATCAAATTATGAAATATTTGCTTTACCGCAACAAATCTATCAAATGTTTGTCCTTCAAACCACTATTGTCGATAACAATTAATAATAATAATTAATATTCAACAACCATTATAGAGATGGGAATTTTCGTTCATTTTACTGAACCAGTTTAGTGAACGATATTTAAATAAAGAGTTGCTACAATTTAAAAATTTCAAATAATATAATTTTATAAATTATAATTTGTTTTTATTTTTCAATTAGTTTTAACAATAAATTGCCTTTGAAAACCAAAAATTATATTATATTATAATTTATAGTACACATTTAACAGTGCTGCAGCAATAGTATGATACGCAGTTAATCATTATTCATTTTTATCAATTTCTAACGGTATAAACAAATGAAATATACGATAATAATTACTCAATTATTAATGGAATATCATATTTTATCAAAATGTATATCTGTTCGTATGAGATAAGCAAATAGAAAATATTCCAACATCGAGTTAACAGCTATACTTTTGACAACCTTTATCTCAACTATATTCACGTTTATTATTTTAATACTCAATATGCATATTGCTTAGTTATTGTAAGAAATTTAATAATAAAATCTACAAAACTAAAGTAACTGATAATTATGGATTGTACAAATAATAATAATATTAGTTACTCGTTTTATTGTCATTGAAAATACTCGTGTCGAGGTACACTATTGTTAAATTTGATTTCTTAGGAATAAGTTATTTAAACAAAGTTCAATCACCTATGGTAATGAGCAAAAATTGTTTTTTTTTCTATGATAGCCACTTAAACAAAAATTAACAATAACAAAAAAGAAAAAGGTTTAAATAGTAACATAACTATGTACAAAAAGTTGTAAGAAACTATATAAAAGTTACAGTTTTTTTGTTAATGGACGTTGCAGCACGATTTTCAACTAGGTATTATACGAGTATAGCACATTAGTTAATTTAAAATTGTGAATAAATTTAAAGTCACCTAACGTCAAACAGGCGCGTACAAATTCTAAACATACTTATTCTATTGTAAATTTCCACTTGACTTCATCCGATTCTCGTCAATCATTTTATACAGAATATATAATACAAGTACAAACTATATATCATGTTGACGTGGGATAACAGTAACATGCACAAATAAATAATATTATATTGAACTTATACAGTATGCTCTATCCCGCATAAGAAAGGTATTGCGTAAAAACCAAAACGCGTCACTCCTGGCTGTGCAGGCGCATACGAAAGCAATGACTTAGTTTCTGCGCACTACCTTTCTTATATGGGATAGAGTATGATTGTAACGTCATAGCTACAATGTAAACTGTTGTAGTCATAGTCGTTTCACGTTTGGTGCGCAAGCGAGTTGTTTTGCGCATTGTTTGTGGCTATGCTATTAACAATTGCTTCTGTATATTATAATGGTTAATAAATTGACGGTTAATCGGCGAAACGATGGTGTGTGAAACCCAGACGGGTCGTAACAACTAATAACCCACGGTTTTAGCAATATATATATATGTATAAACACCAATGACGACATCAGTAATGTTCGTAAAGCAGCCGACGAGAAGTCGTTAATCGGGTGCAGAGCGCAGTGGAATAATAGCACTTATATAGTAGTCTATGGAGTACTGTAAAAAAACAGTACTGTTTATTATCATATAAATTGAAGTAAATAAAAGTACAATATCAGTACCAGTGGCTGCCACCCGGTTGCGCGTGCGCCGTGCGCGGCTCATGTCCGGTAGGCCGTAGGCGGGTAATAAGCAGTAACGAATAACGATAAAAAAAAAAAAAAAAAAAGACTAAAACGCGAACGTTGGCCGGTAGGCCGATGCGGAGTACGCGGCGGGGCGAGGGAATTGGCGACCACAGCGTTGTCGACGCGAGCTCCTTGACGATAAAACGATAAAAACAACGATTCTACAACGTCTTTGGCGGGCGCGCGGGTCCTTTGTTGTAGACGTGCGCGCGTCCCCCGACCCCGCCGCCGGCCTATCGCGCAGTGGAGCCATACGGCGGCGCTCTTTGTGGTAGCCTGACCCGTAGCGTCGGCGGCGGGGTGGTACACGCGCCGAGCCCGACCGATGATAGCCTTCCCCCTCCCGCCGCTACGACAACACCGACCGCCATTTGCGTTTACCAAGAGATTAATAATCGTCCGTGTGTGATAGCGTCATTTCGTGTGTACACCGTCGTTTCGTATGTGTTTCCCGTCGGCCGCCCGCTCACTGTAATTGTTCCGTTTTTGGCAGTCCGCAAGGAATATTATGTAGCGAGACGCGTTGAACGTAGTGCGAACGAAAGAAGAGTTTAAAATACAAGAACGAACGTTTGTCCCGACAAATATAAACGATGGACAGCAGTAACGGCGAGACGAAACAGCCGCCACCGCAGCCGATCAGCACGACGACCGATCTCTATCAGATATGCCGTCTTTGTCTGAACACGTTGCAAGCGGACGAAGGCGAGTCCGTGTTCAACAATCAGGTGCCGTCGTTGCCGGAGAAGATTTACCGTGTATTCGGGGTAAGCAACGGAAATTGTTTATGGCGGTTTTGTTAACAGGAGGAAAATATTGTTAACAGATAATGGGGAAAAATACGAAAACGTGATAATGCGGTCCGGCCGACCGATAATGGCGTTGCGCGGTTTTTATCATACCCGTCCTCTGCCCCGGCCCCTTAGTTTTATCTCTCGTGTTATTATGATGATGATTACACGATATTATTATTAAATATCGCAAATTAACGTTGTCGCCGTCGTCGACGATCACCACTATGCCTCTGTGGCCGTGGCCGTTGCGGCGATGGTATACAACATATACCGCGGGCCGTTTCGTAACGGCGCGCGTTATGTTGATAATGGCGCCCACCGCCTGATAGGCTATTGTTGTTTGGCACGGCGTAATCACGCCAACATACGCAGCCGCCGTGTTCGGTGTTTTTCACGTACCGCGTTTTTCATTACTACCCGACACCCCTAGGATGCCATTTTTTCACCTCCCTCCGTATGCGACTATCATACATTATCGGTATTAACGTATTTTGCCGTTGTTTCCTTGCCGGTTCCGACAAACGCTATCAAATTGTTTTAATTTTTTTTTTTTTCATTTTTCTATTCCTCTCCCCGCGACCTACCCGTTGATTTCTCTCCCCACTCCGTGCAAACAGGTTTTATTTTTAGACGCCCCAGTATCTCGCGTGCCCCTCGGTGCACTTATACCTATTATTTCCAACATTTTTGTTATTATTACTCTGCTGCTATCGCACAGGACCCCGTTCGTGCACCACGAAGAAGTGTTTACTTTATTATCTTGCACCTTCAAAAAAAAAATTAAAATATTTATAACGTAATTATGATTACGTTAATTTTTATTAATCAATAATTAATAATTAATATAAAATTTAAATTGATATTCATATACTGATGTAGAGGGTTAAAGGTAGCCAAGTAGTTTGAACGCTGTATCTTAAAAATAAATTCTTAGTAAATACCATCTCAGTTAAACATGATTTATTTTTCAATTATAGTTATTAAAAATGCATAGGTGTGTTATTAGTTTTTACAGTTGAATTTCCCATTTAAAATTTATTTTATAAGCTGCATTTTTAAAAGTACTAAGTATTATCATTTTGTTATGATAAAAAATATTTATACAAAAAAAAGCTCATATAAAAATATCATTATCAGATGTCTTACATTTTTATTAATTAGAATAAGGGTTCCCACATGAAATCGTAAAAATAGTATTATTTTTACAAAAACTGTTTTTATCTTAGGTTAAGAATTAAACTTTAAAGGGAATTTTATAATTTCAGTTTTGATTATGTCATGAAGTGTTCTAATTGGAAAATTATATACAGTTAAATTGATATAACCTACCTGGTTATAGTGAAATATTTTGTTTTTTTTGTTTGAAACTGATGTCAGGGAAAACTGTAGTTCTACATTAACACTACATACTAGTTCTAATTAAGGGGAATGGAAAGAGCTATTTATTAGTTACAAAGTATAAGCAATATTTGGCAAAAATTGATTTAGTAACCATTTTAAATATGACTTATTTGAAGATGAAAAAAAATGTGTAGTTGTAAAACTTAGTTTTTTTTTCTTCGAGTAATGGCAACTGATAAAAAATGACTGCCATAGAAGTCATTTTCTAGCATATCTTTTTGGCGGTTTTCAAATTTTTTTTTTTTTTTTTCATGTAAAGCTTTCTTTTTTTTCTATGGGGGCTAAAAAGCTGATTTTCGTTTTCGCTATTAGAAAATTAGTTTGATTTATTAAAAAAACAATGAAAAATTAAAATATAAACGCTTATAGTAAAATTATGAAAATAAAAATAAAAAATTGGCTTTTAACCCCATAGAAAAGTTGTTAAAATATGTATCAAAAAGTTTTTGAAATTGGTTTGGTAGACACTTTAGAACGTGACTTTGCATTTTAGTCTTTATTTGTTAAAATTTGTCGTTTTTCGTTCCCTTTAACATGGTACTATAGCATAATTTAAGACTTTTCTCTTTTATTCTTGTCTTAGTAAAACGTGGGTTCCCCTTAGGACTCCCAAGTTTTTGTATTGCTATTATTTATTTATTTTATTCTAAAATTTGTATTTCTAATAAGCCATAATAGGTAGACAGTTATTGCTCTTAGACTGTTTATCATTTGCTATTGATTTTGAATTTATACAAATAATCACCATTGATTACCTAAATCTCATTAATGTTTTTTTGTGTTTTTTAGGTACAAATAACTGATGCTAAGGATTTGCCAAATAAACTTTGCTCAAAGTGTGTGCAAAACACAGAACAGTGTTATAGCCATAGAGAAACGTACAAACGCCAAGAACGTGTTTTACATGACTTGTTGAAAAAACCAGCTGCTGTAATTATTCTTAAAATTTTAAATTAATTATTTCAGTAAATAATTGTATTTAATAAAACAAGTAAAACATTTTTGTCTTTTTAAATAACAGGAAGAAGTAAAAAATTCACCCAAATCTGAATATGTGTATAGCCCAGCCGATTCAAATCATTCTTCATCGTCAGGTCTTGGATCAGATGCGCGATATGTTAAAGCCCAAAATTCTGCTAATAATATCAATAATGTTACTACATCACCACCGTATGAAACAAATGCATCACTCGCGTCACATGGTAAGTAAAATTATATTTTTAAAAAAATACATATTAATTACAATTAAAGAAGTAAGATTTATTATATTCTTTTACAAAAATAAAACCCTTTATTTTGTGCAGTTGAAGTAATTCAAGGATGTGATGAAATGGCCGCTGAAGTGACAATAGCTCATGATTCAGAAGAAACCGTATCTGGAGATGACACTATCTGTACAGATAACAATGCAGAATATGGTACATACAATGATGACGAAAATATAATTGTAGTAAAAACTGAACCTGATGATGAATATGACGAAGAATAGTAAGTGTATTGCATAAAATATGATCATGGATATGTGATTTAGAAAACTTAATACAATTATGACTACTCATATTAAACAAGTACAACAGTCAGCTTTTGAGGGTGGTTATAACATGTCTTAACACTTGAATGTATGACATTCTAGACATTTTTTTATTTTTCCCCTAGAATTGTTTTTATTTATTTGCTAAAATTTTGTGAATAACATATAAAAAAAATAAAAAGTACCAAAATTACGTAACTTTGTAATAATTGTATTGAGCGGTTTTATATACATTATTTTTCCTAAGATTGTTAAAATATTAGTTTGCTTTAACTCTTTTTTTTTTTTTTTTAAACTTTAATGTTAAAACAAATGTTTTTATAGTAAAAATGATGATGGCTCCGAAGGCTATGACCAACAAAGTGGTCCTAAAGTTATTGCTAGCGTCCAATTCCCTATTGTCAATGGTACAATTGTTAATGGTACTCATAAAATTGGTCAAAAACAATTTTCGCTAGTGAATTGTATTCCAACATCTTGGGTAAGAATAGTATAAATTTGTTTATAAACTAAGAGTGTTGTTTAATGTTGCAAACTTTTTGTATTGTTTTCTTAGGCATCCGGCACAAGTAAAGATCGCCGTAAACAGAGTTGCCCTACCAGAGCGTTAGAGTTAAGTGGGTTCCGAACACAAGTTGCTGGTGATGACACTAACTCGTCTGATGAAGGAAACGGTCCCAACTGGACAACTAAAAAAATCCGATCTAACTCTCCAGCAGTCATTGTAAAACCTGCATATGCTTGGCCAAATTTACAAGGCAGTGGGCAAACTCTTATTTTTCAAACAAAAGTTAGTAATCACTTTATCATTAATAATTGTATTGATACACGAAAGAGAAAAGTAACGGAGAAAATTTGTTTGCGTTACAGAATCCCGATGGAACAACATCAGAATTACGTCCACAAGTCATGCAAGTTGGTGAATGGGCAAATAATCAAGGCCAATCTAACGCTCCCACAGATCCGTCGGATCGAATGGGGATGTTATTATTTGCAGCCACACACATACAAGAACTATCAACAGAAAGCGACGATGGGCAGTCACCGGGTACTCCTAAAGGTGCAACTGTAGTTCGTGGTAAATTAGTATCGTCTGACCAAAAACGCAAAATTTATCAAACACAGGCGACAATCAGACGATATTCTGATGGCCATCAAGTACAACAACAAGTGAAAGATATAAATGCTTCACCCAATGTACCTAGGAAACGCACGGTATATATTTTGTTAAAATGTTGTCAAACTGAAACTAGTTGTTTTTAATAAATTAAAATTTTTTAGGCAAGAGAATCATCCGTTCAGAGGATGTGCAGTAATTGTGGAACGACTTGTTCAACCATATGGCGACGTTTGAACGAAGACCCTGTGTGCAACGCTTGTGGATTGTACTATAAACTACATGGAAAAATCAGACCACCGACAATGCGACGTGATACCATTCATACGAGACAACGTAGAAAACGTTCTGACAATGGTTAGCATTCTCACCTTTTTTCATTTTCTAGAGAAACATTATAAATATATTTTCCTTCTTGATAAAAACAAATGTCTAAAATTAATAATACCTTATTAAATAAACAAATTCGGACGCCTCCTTTCTGTTATTAACTAACATTCTTCTTAGATACTTTTCTTATTCACATAATGCGTAGTAAAATTTAGTCAAGTGCCAAATTGTAATTTTTTCATTATTATTTAATTGGTACACTAATATATTTATGCAATCGCAGCACATTAAACTAAAATTAAGCGGTGGTCAGGACGATATACAAGATTGCTTGCTTCAGGTAAGAACGCCATGCAAAAAAGTAGATGACAATTCTAATTAAAATCTTTCATTTTTAGTATTAAACTGCTTGTAATGCTTAATTTTTTTTTTTAATTTCATTTTAATTCAATGTAATACATCTCTTTACGGTAATATCTACCAACATAAACATTTCTACTAACATAAACATTTATATAAAAATCTATATAACTTTTTTTTTGTCATGACCATAATATTTTTTTAGCAATAAATTGTTTCAAATAAAAACTGTATAAACTTTGTAGATGTAGTTTTTAAGATAATTATTTATTGAAACTATTTGTCAAAGTATGTTTAAATGTATGGGAGACAATTTATATTTTTAAGTTTGTTATTTGTTTGTGAAAGAAATATTATTAATTTTCAAAAAATAAAAATTGAAACATAATTAAAAATATATTTTCTGATATCAGAGCTTAAATATAATTAATTAAAAAATACATATTTAGTTTATGACTTTAAATTGTAGATGCAGATATTAATTCAATTGTTTACTCTCAAATGTTAGTCAACAACTCCATTGTTTTGTAGGCTATGCACACTCATAAGAATAGGACATAAAAAAAAAAAATCGTAAGTTATTGAAAAACACTTTATTAAAGTAGAGTTAACTCTATAGTATTGTTAAACTACTCTTAAATTTTAAGAATAGTTGTTTCAAAATGCCAATGATCTAATTTTTACTAATCTTCATAATATATTTCATGCTCTATAGACATTTGTTTGAAAAGTGATGGTCAAATATTTTAGTGTTAAGGCAGCAGTGTATCACCTTATGTCACTGGTTTGACACTGTAGCTAGTGGAGTCGCCATCCTCCTACAAAAAAATAATTTGTCGAAAAACTAACATCTTGTGTTGATTGCAATAGGTGTTGATACCTACATAATAATAGAAAATAAATTCTATAGAGCATGTTTTTTATATAACGAGAAAATCCTTTCTCGGTTAACTTAATTTAATATTGTGTGTACTATTTATTACATTTAAATAGTGTGTAAATAAACAATAGTTTCGTGAGGTAATGAAGCAGTGTTGTTATAATTTAATTGTGGTTTTAAAACGGACTTCACTGACATTTGTTTTTTCTGTGGTAAATTAATGATTATTTTAAATGCATTTTTCACAAATTTCCCTTAGCAATTTCTTATCAAACAGCTTCACTAAATGTTATTAATTAGCAATTTAGTTATTATCTATATCTGTGCTGCAAAATATCAAATTTTTTAATATATGTTTGTATTTTCAAAAGAACTACAGTATTATGTCAACCTTCAATTATCTACATTGTTTTACATTATTTAATATTATACCAACTACCGATTTGGTGGACAGTTAACAATATTAGAACGTAAGACTTCTGCTTTTTACATTTTAACATTAGCTATTTTATTGTTGTGGTGGTTATTAAATATTTCTTGCTTGGCGATAATAAACATGTTCAAAACAATATATTTTTTATTTCGTCTGTTCTGTTCATTTATATTGCTTCTTATGAAAAACTACTAGTTGTTAAGATATATGTTTTTGTAGAAAACACAATATGTTTATTTAAATATTTTATTGTGCAATTAATAATAAAAAAATATACACCTTATTAAGATGTAAATCAAAGCTGTAATTTTATGGAATGCACTCACCTATTTACAACTCACTGTGGAGTCGTCCGATTAAACGTCAGAGCGTTGAAAGTACTTAAAAGTTTATTCTTGTGTAGGTATGGACATAAGCATGAATAAGAAAAAAATCAAAATTAAAAAAATGGAAGCCATAAAATTAGAACAAGAAGAAGGATATGAAATCGAACAACCTCCGTCACCCAACTCGGCGGCAGTTCAAACAATTATTGAAGAACCTGTACATGACGAAACACCATTGAATCTTGTCAACAAATAATTGTCCCGTTTATTTGGCAAGGTTCGTTATATTCCTCGTATATATATATTTTTCTATTTCCTAATAATTGTGTATGTGTAGTTTAAGTGATATTTTTAAATTAAGTATCAAATCTGTATTCGTGTTCCTGTGCCGAAGGTCTAGTAATCACAGTTTTAATTGTTTTTTTTTTAATTTGTTTTATGCATGCATTACATAATTAACATATTCCAAATGTATTAAATCAAATTGATTTTCTTTTCTTTTTATTATTATTATTAATTTTGGTTTTAAAATCAAAAACATATTCTCTATTTATTATTACCATGACAAAGAGTAGGAATAATTTCATAATAATGAATATTCAGCATCTCTCATTGCATGTATGTAACCTAACAACAATTGAACTTAATGTTTAAATAAACTATACTTCAATTAATTGTCCGATCGATCTTATGTTTTATATTATATTTATTAACTTGAGTTTAGGCAACAACATTTTTTTTGCTACTTACCTCTAAATTGATATCTATTTATAATGTAAGTTTAAAATTATTTAAAGAAAAATATAGGTGTGTTATGTTTTATCATCACGATCGGTAAAAACTAAAAACAAACAATTTGCGTTGTAATACATAAAAGACGTCTACCTCCACTGCACTATTAATTTACTTATATTTGTCATCAGTATAACTGTCCCTTGTATATACCACAATTTAATTAATAAAATATAATAAACTTAGTTTACTATAATACTATATACTATATATGTATGCATTTTTTAATTTTTTATTATTATCATTTGTGTGTAAAAAAAATGGTGTTTAATATGTAAATATTAAAAAAACAATATTTTTTATTAGGCCATTATTATTTATAGGTAAACACTTAACTAATATTAAACAAAACTCTGCACAATATGTAGCCGATTCACAAAAATGTTTTAATTCACACTAAATATTTTATTGTCAAACTTAAGTTTCTATCGATGAGTTATTTGTTAAACATTTAAGTTATAATATTTTTTTTTATTTTCTAGAATTTAATAAAGGTTGTTGTACATACATAATATTATAGTTATAATATGATCACTTCAAAGTTTTATCTCAAGGCTTTATATAGTAACGTGGCATTATTTTAGTATTTTCAAATAAAATTTGTAAAGCCGACAGCGTTTTGTAAATGAAAGATATTTATGTACTAGTAATAAACTAAATAACAATTGATTGTATTAACGACGATCACTCATTTTTAGTCATTCGTGTGATTACCAAAATTTAGTTGAAGTTTTTAGTGTACCAAATAACATTTCTTTGATTTTTTTCTGTGTAGATTTCATTGGTTGTAATTTATCTTGGTAGGTAATTTGAGAATTATATACCAGTATGGAATACATTTAATTAAATGGTTGCAAACATAAAGGAAATATACTATGATAATAAGGTAATAATAAATAAGAGTGATCATAGCAAGTTAACTAAAGTTGAATTTGAATGTACTAGTTTTTAAATAATATTAAATAAATTAAACATTTTTTATATACATATATGTATTATTATTTAATGTTAATTAATCTTTTATGTATGGTTGTGTTGTTTAGTAGCAATACATTTTCACCAGTTATTCGTTTTAGAAATAATAGTTTAACAATACATTTTAAATTATATATATATTGTATTTGTTGTGTAATCTGTACTTAATAATTTTCAAATTCTGTATAAATACATTTAATTTGTCTTTAAAAATGTAATTTATTTTGCATGCAGGTATTAAATTCGTATTTACTATTATATATATATGTATGTGTGTGTGTGTGTGTAGACCTTTAAAAAAAAAATATTATTTTCTAACATAAAAAAAGAATATTTTATTTTTAGACAAGTTAGTTGGTATGTCTTGATTTAGCTTTTAACAATCTATAAACATAGTTATAATTATTATATAAATATAAATGTATGATGACGCTAAAGATCATATATTATATATTATTATTAGAATTATCAGATATATTATTAGGAATTGTAATTAAGTACTATTAAAATTTCAAATATTATTTTAATAAGTCGGACATTGGTTGTTACTTTTTTACCCAAAACAATAAATCATTTTCCATATAACTGAAACAAATTACTGTTATGCATCCAAAAGAAAAAATACTTGTTCTACATTTTTGCATACTGTAATAATATCTGTTGTTTGAATGTAGACCTAGATAATGGTTTATCAGTTTGGTATTCATAATTGACTAAAACGGTTTAAATAAATCCTAATTAATCAATTGATTAAAATATTATTGATTTTAGTAATTGTACGTAGTCCTTTTTATTGTAACAAAGGTAATGTTAATTTTAGTATAATTTATGTATTATTAGTCATACTAAAGTTTCTACATAATTACAAACATCAAACAGAAATTGTTTTAATGTGTAAAACAAACAATTTGTAGTTTTTTACATAAGATAATTTGTTCTTCAAAAATAATGAATTTTGTACACTAAAAATTAAAACAAATTAAGTTATTATATTTGATAATGTAACCGCGGTTAAATGTTAACAGTGATATTTTTTTAATTGATGCTTTTATTCCTGTATAATGTTTGAATACAACTTTATATTTTCTCTACGGTAAGAAATAATTTGTTTTCTATATTTTGAAAACTAATAAGTACCGATGCTATCCAATGATTATTTCCTAAAGTTGTGTATTGAATTATAACGTGGAATACTTATGTGTACTCGGAAGCGAGTACAGCTTATTATAATAACACTGTGATCCCAAAGTTCCAAGGTGTAAGTATTAGTTAGTAATATTCTAAAATATACTGTTTAACACAAGGTTAATGTCTGCTGCATAAAATATTTAATTGTTTACAATTTGGATTAGTTAAAAAGGTAAGAAAATAAATTTTGTAACCCTCAATTATAAGTTTCATTTTTTTATAGTTATCTTTTAATTAAAAAATCAGTTTAGTTTTCTTATTTTAATAGTTGTTTTTTTATACTTGTATTAAGTATTAACGGTGATCGACGAACTAACATCAATATTTTTGTATAGGCTGTGGGAGACATATTATGAAGGATGGACATTGCTGAATATTAAAAAATGTTTTGTTAAAAACACGTCTATCCGACTATCACTAGGAGTAAAAAATATTGGATATTGCTTCAAATATAATATACCTATCCGCTGTTTTCAAGCTATTATTTGTTGAATGTTACCTACTTGTAGGTCTAATACTTTATTAAAATGTATTTAATTAGGTATAGTAGTATTCAACTATATATTATATTTATTTATATATGATGAAAAATATAGAATAATCCACTACATTAAATTCTATTAGTAAAAACATATTATTTTTAAAAATCGTCCCACGCGTATAAACCAGGTTTATTGCTTTGGGGAATATGTGCCAAATAATAAATATATGTATACGGATTTTGTGGTCATTCCAAAATAATATGTATTTTAATAATATTTGCTGTGTATATTACAGTAATCCAAAATATATACTTGTCATAAAACCGCTTGTACTAGATTTGCCACAATACATATAGCAAAAATAATTTTTATTCATTTACTGGTCTATTCTCTAAATACAAAAATGTTAAAAAGTGGAAGTATTTTATGTTAAGTTTAAATCTTTGTTCAGACAACCTATTAAAAATAAATTATTACATTCAGTGACACGGCGAGAGTGGGGAGGCCGAGAGTTGCCTCGAAAATATTTATGAAGAAAAGGTTACATTATTATAATTTATTATAAATTATTTTTATTGATATACCTACATCACTATTATATAATCTAACTGCCCACTAAACATTTAGATGTGACTAAATAACAATTGTATAAATGCATAATTCATAATAATTGTTATTGAAAGACCTCTTGTGATAATAATAATTTAATTTTGGGGCAGTTTAACTCTTTGAGTCATAGTGGTATTATATTAACATCACCTTTCAATATTTTTTTTTTACGATTGTGAATTGTAGAATCTTATTGAAACCACCATCAAAATAATTTGAAAAAATAAAAACAAAATTAATGTTCTCCGTCGGAAATTTGAATCCGCCTGTTATAATTATTTTATTAACTCGGCTTTTTCGTTGTATCTTTAATGTTAAAAACAAATACAGCAATTTTCAGATTATCTTAGATTTAGGTACATAAAAACCAAAATATTTTAAAAGGTGAGACGGTAATTATTTACAGAATACATCTAAAATATAATTTATGTACATTTTTTATTTCATTTTGTTGATAAGGATTTAGGTTTAAAATCAAATATTTACATTACATAAAACATTAGTTCTATGTGAATTACTGAACTATTGTTTATTACGACTAAATCTAGGCTAATTTTGCTTAGATTATAAATTTACCTAATGTTGATAGCGAATAATGTTTAAAAATATAAAAATGTAATTTATAGCGACTTATTTGGAGCATAAACTCCATTACACAACATAATAATTCAACGTAATGGCATGGGCGCATCCATTAGTGGAGTGTTTATTCAGGCTCGATTCCGGATTACCTCTCTTAAACACAGTATAATATAGTCTTAGTCCGTCGTTACTAATAATACGGTGGTCCTTCAACGATTATACCAAATACTATACATTTATAGTATTAGATTATACTGATAAGTGATAATAATTAACATTAAATATTATACTTTTTGTTTTTCTGTTATGAAACTGACAAATCATTGTACGCAAATTTGTTATTTTTCAGTAGCTATTAAAAAATTATTGTTGATTGGAGAATAGTATGAGGTTTATAATATTACCAAATTCTTTATTTCTATCCACAGTAATGTTTGGCGTTATATATTAATGTAATATTATTAATGAATTCTATTTACAATAATAACCCAACAGGTAT